GCGGCAGTATAACGATGGCGTGGCTCGCGATCTGGACTTCGTAATACGACGATGATGAACAACGGCTGTATACTCCATTACCTTAGATCGAATCGCGATTATTCTGAATTCTCGCGATCACGCGGGGAAGAGTTTGACGTCGACGTTGACAATCAAGGAGCACATAAAAATCAACGAGAAATCAAAACGACTTTAGTTTCAATAAACGTCGATAATTTCCGAAACTGCATATCAATCGTGTAACTTTTTCTTTAGAGCGAAAAAGTTTTTTTTTTTGTTAAATTTTTGCCAATGAAAATAATAAAAGAACTGAATTAGATATAATTTGCTGATCATGAAGGATAGCCATTATATAATTTTTTCTCTAGGACGAAAATGTAAAAAGCTGACATTTCTTTCTCCAATTATGGGCGTAGCTAAAATAGTGAACCCGTGGATCTCCCCCTCTAAATCTTAAAGAACAAATACCATATAAATAAAACCGCTTAAACGGACTATGATATAACGAGTATTCAAGAAATTCAATTTAGAAGAAAAAAGAATTGAAGGTGAAAGTATAGCAAGATTTTCTGAGACTCCAAGACTATGTTATAATATAAATTTCAGTTTTTCCAGTTTGTGTATATGTATGATGTGTGAAGAATTGGTTTATAATTTTACGAAAAAAATAAAATTAATTAATACATTAAATATATGTGGTTTTATAATTTAGCTGTATAGTAAAAAAGATTAATTAAAACAAAATAAGCTCAATAATTCGTATTACTCAACTACCCTCCTCGAATTAAAAAATCTCGACCTAATTTTCCACAAGGTTTGTTCGCGTTGCTTCTCCAAAAAATCTCCAAAAATTTTTGTACTTGAAATAAATATATATTCGAACGTTGAAAAGAGAGAAAACAATCATTACTACTCATTACTACTCATAACTACTCAGATTTTTCACGATCAGCCGACGGATCTTATCTACAATTCGGTTCGTTATTATTATCGAATTATCATTAATATTAATAGGTACCATAAACCTGATCCGTCAGAAAATCTGTGAGTTCCTGTACTGTTTATAGTCACGTGCGTTACGATTCAAAACGAGAAGGTACGACGTCGTTACGCCGATACCTCCCAATTAAAAGTCAGTTCTCCCGAGGATAAATTAGTGCGGCTGAATGTTAATAAGGTACCTTCACGAAAGCGTCGTAAAAGTTATGAGTTACGATTGGATGGAGTGGCGGGATACCTACGCATGTACAGTGAGCGTAATCAACGATTACAATGTCCAACGAGGGCCTTTTGTGTTCCTTTCGCGTGTCTGTAAAAAGGGACTCTCTCCCTCTCTTAATGTACGTAATTACTCTTCAGCGTCGTTGCAATCTTCCCGAGTACTCTCCACTCACCTCGGTCGCTTTCGCTCGTTCGATCGGTTTTATCAAATAGCGCCTCGAGTAATCTTTCATCGAACACTTCGCTCTGCTTTTCGCTTAAAAAATATATCATGAGATTAATTCGACGTATAATCGAGCAAAAGGGCTTAATTCTTGAAAAGTGTTATCGCGTATGAAAACTATAATAGAAATCTATACTATACGTAATGAAAATTATACTATTATATTTTCGTACATTTTCGTAAGCAATATTTTTTTCCACGTCTTGGTTGACAGAGTCCATATCTTATAAGAGGCGACTAAAATTTATTTTAAAAAACACCCTCTATTTCCATCGATTTCACGTCATCAGTTTTTATACAAAACAACGCACCTCCGTGTACATACACATGTTGTATTGCAGATCCTTTGATTATGCGAAGTCCTCCCATCGTGCACTCCTAAAAAGCAAAACGATCCTCTATCTCGGAGTTTGTCTTTCCACAGTTGACTGCTTTTTCCTCCTATTGAATTGTTCTAGCATATATAAGTCGTATTCCTCGTGCAAGGCTGTATTGACAATCGTCGACCGGTCTCACTGTACTCGCGTGCTTCTCCGCGCGTCCAGTTCTCCGATCTTCACTGCGCCTTTCCTCCGGCCTTCCTCTTTCTTTCGTCTTTCTTCTTCCTCTCTTTCCCGCTGTTTGTGGAGGCTCCTTCTGCATCCCTTGTCCTCCTCTTTGCCCTACGTCTCGTTCCTTCCGGCCATTCTCTCGGTATAGACTCTTCGTTTTCCTCTGCGTACGTGCACCTCAAGTGTGTGTACACTCCGTCCTTAGCTTCCAGCTTCGTTAAGAGGGCTCGAGTCGTCGTCTTGGCGCGCTCCGTGAAAATCTAGAGCCTATTGCCCTCCCGAGCGGGGGGGAGGGGGGACTGTTTGACGCGACTCGGACCTTCGAATGCTTTCTCGTGCGCTATCTTATCTATAGTGAATACAATTAACGGCCTACCTGTATCGACGACTCTAATCTGCCTCGAGATCCTTATACGAATTTTGCTTCTCTTTTTCCTCACGCGACTTTTCCGCGATTGCACTCCGGAACTGTGTGGCAACCGAATCGACATTTTATCTGCCCCATCTCGGATAAATTCGCTATTAGAAAAACTTGAGATAACGCCAATTATACGGTAAGCGCAGAGCGCGCAGTGAAACGAGCATTAAGCAATTCATTAAGCTCGTTTTAAACTCGGTGCTTAAAACGAGTCGTGTCTCAAGTATAATAGAAAAGACAGAAGTTTATATTATATTAATGAAGACATTATCATGACCGTATTTATTATTTGAGTAATCTAAGGAACACGTAAAAGTCAATCAAGAATCATTTTGATTTTCACAACATCAAAATAAACATTTTGACTTTCCCTCGACTTGACGTATTCTTTGGATGTAAGTTCATTCTTAAGTGTTGTAGGAAGTCATTCTATAACCTGGGGTATAATTTGAAACAGACAAGAGAATAGAGAAGAAATGGAATTTCGCATATCACTCATCGTTCTTTCTTGTCACTTCCTCGAAAAAGAATCTACCGAAAATACATCGCGTTAACAGCGAATGTAAACCGCCGCCCGCTGAATATCCGAACGTTTTAATCGCCCTCACGTTACGATCACATTTTACGATTCGGCAGCTAACGTGTTACCGGCTTCTGTCGCGGGGATTATGCAAGCGCGACTGTTCGAGTAGCCGAGCAAAGTGCGTCGTTATGCACGTGCACCTAATATTAGATTTGAGATTCTCGCTCTTTCCCTTTCTGCCTTCTCCTCCGTCCGCTATACTCATTATAACTATATACTCGTGTACGGCGCAACCATATGGAATTGGCAATTGGCTCATTCCGTTGCGGAACGCAAACGCCGCTTATTGCATCCTATATCGCCCGGACATGTCTTGTTCAGCCTCCAGCCTCCAACGAGATACCTTACCGCTGATAATCCGCGGCCGGTCCGCGGCGCGGGGACGCGTACGCCGAAGTGCGCGTCGTTTACATTCCCGCCGTGATCGCAAATGCGTTTTATATATGCGCCAGCTAATATCGCCGGGCCGATCGCGTGGGCTAGATAGACGGCGATGTGCTGTATAAGTATTATACATATGTACTTGTGTACACCTGCGTACCTGTGTACGTATACCAGTTCCGCGGCAGGGATGTATTAGCCACCGCGCTTATGGTGAGAGCTAGCGGTCCGCGAAAGCTGCCAAGGAGCTACCGTCTTTCACCTTTCCTTGCCACATATATAGAGAATTCCGTGCAGAAATGATCACGCGTGCCACGATGAGAGGAATCCCGCGCGCGATCGACGCTTGAAATATTTTAAAACGTTCGGGACATATCTCTCACACGACACAGTTGTCCGAGTGATGTCCTCAGGACGCCCATAGGATGTCCCAAGAGGATATATGTCCTCAGAATCATCTCTTGTGCGAGATACTGGACTAATGATTAAATCGGATTGACGAAGTCTCTGACACCGTTATGTTAAAAGGGTTTACTCGCGACGCTATTTACATAATGTGGTTGTAAGATGATACTTGACGTTGACGAAAAGTGGACGTAGGAGCGGCTCCACGCGAGCTTCGCACACGGGCTCGCGCACGTTTCGGCTACGTCACTGTTCGCCCGTGGGTGAGCAGAGCCAGCTTCGCTACACGCGACTTGACCTCGGGACGGATAAAGGGACAACCGAGTCCCCGAGGGACGATTATGGTACACCACTTCGACGTTACACCTTGCACGCGCTAGTATATATACATATATATATATATATATGGTGTCGCTCTCACGTTGCACAAACTGTTGATATTCAGCGGGCGTTGAGTTATGATTCACAGAGTCTATCAGTTGGTCCCATATCACGTTGTCGTATACTTTCGGCTAAACACGAGTTCGATCTGGACATCGAGAAAGATTGCACGGTCTGCTTGAAAATGCGAGCTCTGTTCTCGATAGCGATATATCTTCGCGATATCTTACCGAGTCTGGACAGGATCAAACACGACCATGAATTATTTTTATTTGTGTTTAAATAATGATATGTATCTTTAATGAGTAAATCGTATAATTAATCCGATCGCAGAAGTAGACTATTTATGATCAGCTTACTATGTTTGAAGTCTCGAGAACTAGTATATACGACAGATGCCGCAGTCTTCCATAATTATATTATTCTACGAACGATCGTGGAGAGAATTGTAATCTTTATTACACACACACATATCCAAACAAATTATCAAATTCTTAACAGGTATCATTGTTAATATAATTTTGCTTATAGCTTTTCTAAACGTGCGACACGTACGCTATTCCTCGCATTTCCAGGCTCCACTTTTAATTAAAGCTCGGCATTTATAATTGAGACTCGATTTTTCCGCTAACGACCGTATGATGCATCGATCTGACCTTGATTTCACCGTTCCGCGGTCACCGCACCTTTTTCGTTCGGATAGGCACGATTCACGGCCGACTGCGCCGGCGGTCTTCCTAATGAAGCGATTAATACGGTGCCTCCGCTCGCTGTGCGAATACTTGTAATACGAAATTGATGATTTCCTTCGATGCTTGCAGGGGGTGAAGGAGAAGGATGACGATGCGAGGCAATGGTCCTCTCGTGATCTTGCGATCGCTGATGGTCGCTGTCGCCGCCGCTACGACGGTACCGGGGACCTGGATGTAAGTATCTTTCATTATATCTTTCGCGCGATTGCGACAATTTTTTCCTTTCCTTTTTTTTTCCAATCGGGCGATCGAAGGTATCAATTAGCTTTATGCGCGTATTTATAGTTACATGGGACGCGATTACTTTTTTTCATTAGGCTCGCGCGACTCTTAAAATAAGCTGACGTCGAAGGACAAGGGGTGCCCTACATATCGCCGATCGAAGGATGAACTGTAGCACCGGTAGGGTGCCGTTCTTACGGTGAAAGCTTCATTATCTGTACGTTGTTTCATTGAAATTTTCGACGATCTAGTTGCCGTGATTTCCGATATTGGCTTGGGATAATTTGAATTCTAGTGTACATACGGGCGTGAAGCACTGAGAGGCAAGCGAATAAATACATTTATTTAAAGCAATAATTAAGTCACTGAATTGCTAAACGAGCAGTTTATCTTAAATGATTTATGCTTCTTTACATTCTTCGTTAAAGAGGAGATCGCAAATCTTGGTGTCAATCGAACTCGATTATTATATGAATCAACAACGTTATTTTATTCACATTGTAGTCATATTACTGTCTCGAATCGTTGAATGATATACAAAAAAATTACGAAAATAACAGTTTTGCTGAAGTATCTAAAAATTAGTTAGATACAAATCTAAAAATAATTTTGTTGGACCATAAAATTATTATATAGTATTGTGTATAATACTTAAACATTGATGATAATGCTGCAAAAACTTTTAACATTGATCAGTTTAAATATCCTACATAATTATTTACATAAATCAAACAAAATTATTTTTAGATCTGTTCTAACTAAATTTTTAGATACTTTAAAATTGTTCTTTCCGTATAAAATAAGATCTATATTTTTTTGTTGTGTTCCAAATTTATTGCCTGAAAATCTATAATTTACGTTACATACATTATATGGATATACAGTGGATTTTAAAACACAACATTTTTGTAGCTATAATCTACTGTATACTTTTAAGTGAAACAAATATGCCCAGCATATATACATATATCAAATTTGGTAAAAACGAGAACGAAAGTTTTAATGCAGTCCTCCAATCTTCCAGCGACAAAGAACAAGCTTTTATTTCCAACGCGAAAATATAATTGACTCCCGATCTCTCTCTCCGCGTCGAAAGCGTTAATTACGCGACGACGATCGTCCGGGCACGATAAGCAGGCATGTCGCGAAGAGACGAATCGGCACGATTCTCTTCACACCGGATTCCAGATTTATAGGTCTTTATGCTCACGGCACATCGTGGGAATCCGAGCGAGGTATCTCTTGTGTCCCCGAAAAACCTCTCTCTTTCGTGCACGAACGAAAGCTACGTCCCCACACGTCGCTTGTGTATTTCGCCCTGTTTGCCAGGAGTGTGTCTAATCTCTGAATTGCCATTCCGGCCCCTGTGTTCTACCCCGCGTTGAGCATGACCAATCATCGAATGGTCCCGGACGCCCGCGCTCCTTTGTGTGCCGTCCGGATCGCCCCCAGACCTCCTTCGCGCCGAATTTACCTCTCGTATACCCTATCTCTCGCAAGGAAATCCTCGCCTGTCTACTTTTTTTTTTTTTTTTTTTTTTTTTTGGAATCTCTCCCCCTGAAGTTGCTCCCTTGACTCTCGAACGCGCACGCTCTCTCCGTTCGGCTAATCTGTAACGATGGAGCAAAAGTCAGAAATCATCGCATTTCCGACGTATAAGCATTAGTTCAGTTCCCCTTATCGTATCTCACGTGTAATTCCTATACGTCATCCGATTAATCGTCTTGTTGTTTAATTACTCGGCGCAATCCTTTACAACGTGACAGAATCCCATTTCATCCCGCGGCTCGCGATTTTGCCTCGGGACACCCCGTATATGCAAACGCGCGTCGCTGCGGATGTAGCCGCAATCTCTTAGGAGACACGGGGCATTATTTTGCGGGCCCCGCGGCCCACGACGCGACGACCGGTGCCCCGAGCACGCGAGCGTTGCGTGGGTCGTACCCCGTCGAAATATTATCGCTCTTTCTGTCGCGTGCCCCCTTCCCTGGTCCGCAAGAGGTTTGTCCGCGCCATTGTTTTAGGGGAGTGTAAAGCCAATGATATATCGTCGCCGGAGCGTGTTCCAGAATATTAATGTCGTCTATTACACTCCCTAGACATTCACGCGCGGGCTTTTACGACTTCTCTTCCTCTCTCTCTCTCTCTCTCTTTCACTTTCTCTTTCTCTCTCTTTCTCTCTCTTGATCGCGACAACTTCGGATGGACCTCGGTGGAGGCAGGAATATTGAGATTCTGATGTTTTCCAATAATTCCGATACAAGAAAACAGCCCGAGGACGAGCATTTCTTTTCCCATTTCAAAGTAGTTGTTCTCGCTAATAAATTCGATTTATTGTACAATATTTTAAGCGAGAGTTACTCATTTTTTAAATGACGCACCATGATAGCGGTTGAAATCACGAGTCATAATCTTTCGATCGTTGTTCCGTAGAAATTCTCAAGAATCAACCTCGATGGAGGCGGGAATATCGGGATTCCGTTTTCCAGTAATTCCAGACAAGAAACATCCCGAGAAGAGAGGAACATTCCTTTCCCCATTCCAAAGTGGTTGTCGGTTTTCGCTAATAAATCTGATTTAATGTACAATATTTCAGGCGAGAATTACTCAATTTTTAATGTGAAATTAATGTACCAGCAGCTTGAAATCACGAGTCATAATCTTGCGATCGTTACTCTGTAGAAATTCCTAAGTAACACACGCTGTTGATACATCTCAAGCGGTCGCGTCACATCGCCGACAATCCCGACGAGTATTCACCTGAGTCACGCTCGGGCAGGTCGTCCAGGTTGCACCGAGTCGCCGTGCAGGTTGTCGCGACTTGCTACGTACAGTCGCGGTGAACGAAAGCGATGGGGAGACAGAAGTCCAGACCTGAGATTATAAGATATATAATTGAAAAGTGTACTCTTTTAAATCATATAGCGTGAAATTTGCCCGATAATAAATAAGGCGGTACAACTTTAAACATGATTACTCTACAGAAGAAAAATACTTTGCAAATATCGATACACCTATAATGTTACATAGATATGTATCTTTTGTCGTGATTATTCTAAATATCTGTATTATTTTTTTTTTATATATAATCATCTAAAATATATATAGAAAAAATGGTTTTTTAAAAAAATTCAAACACATTTAATTAAATGCGCAGATCTGAAAATAATATTTTGTTGACCATCAAAATAATTATGTAGAACGTTTGAACGTTATAATTCTGCAAATAGAACGTTCTAATAATAATTAGTTTAAGGGGCTTACATTTTGAAGATTCAAATAAAATTATTTTCAGATCCGTATCTAGCTAAATTTTTAGGTACTTCTGCGAAATCACATTCTTTAGAATTAATATATATATACTTAAAAATATAATATATTTAAAATTTAGAATTTATCAAAGTTTATCGTAATAAAATAAAAATATACAAATATTAATATATTTATATTTATATTGATATTTATATTCATTTATATTTACTTTATAATATTAATATTTACGCACAGCAAATTGTAGACATATGCAGCATCGACAGATTAATCATTATTAGCTAACAGGAAGTTTATCGGAGTCAACGGATAGGAATTGCGAGCGTTCAAATCCCCAAGTCGAAATCTATCAAATTGGCGATTTTGCCAATTACAGGAAGGAACGGCTTTTCTAAAGTACCTAAAAAATTCAGCTAGCTAAAGAAATTAATTTTCTTTGAACCATCAAAATAATTACGCAAGTCAGTTAAACTAATTATAGGAAAAATTAAAATATAATTTGTTATTAACGTTTAAGTTTTCTTTATTATACATAATTTTGATGGTCAACAACATTATTTTCAAATATATAATATATCTAGCTAACTATTTAGATACTTTAACAAAATTGTTTTTTCTATGTATTTCCCGAGGATTTTTCTCGATGAGATGACCTCGCGGGAATAAACGGGGGAGACCCGATTCGAATTCGGCTGCTGGAAAGCTTCGTTCGCGACGACGGCCGTCCGTTTCGAATTTCAGATTGGCGGGACCCTTGCCGGTTATGCTCGGCCCTCGGCTTCTGTCTTTGACGGTGCCGTTCCATCATCTCGCTCGGTTGACTCACAAATGCGCCATTAAGGAGGAAATCCGAGGGCCGCTGCGCGCCCACGGACGCGGACGACTCGCCGCCGCCCCGCACCGAGTTTATATAATCGGCGTAACAAATCTTCAGGAGTTATAAGGGGGCCGCGGTTTCGACGCTGCAGCGACGTGTCGCGGCGTTTTCGAAATGGCCGTCAAATTGCGCAAGCTTTTCCTAAATGAGAATCCCAGAATTAAAGACAATCGACCGAATGTTTTTTAAAAGAAAAGAAAATCTGAATTTATTTTATATAATAGGTTTGTTTCTTTATAACTAAACTCTCTCTCTCTCTCTCTCTCTCTCTAGTATATACTTCTGAAACTTATAGCGAATTTGATTAGTCACACTTTAATACGCACCGGTGCATATTAAAACTATCGCTATTATACTGATTTAATCTCGGTGTGAAAGTGAAACGTGAATACTTTGAATCATAAAATACATACATTTTACTAGCACAATAAGGTGTGTTGAGTATTTAACCGATTTTTATATTTATGATAAACATATCTTTACGTCAATTTGCGTACGACTTTGATGTGTGCACTAATGCGCACTAAGTACAATCGAAATTATTATTAAAATGAAAGATAATATATGTTTGATATTTAGCTAAAGTAAGAAAAAAGTTCTAGTGCAGTCTATTGCAGAAATAAAAAAAAACAGACTCAATATTGTAAAAGCTCTTACGTAAAAAGTCTACGTTACTCTGTATGTATAATAGAAACCTGGGTCTGCGACACTTGCCTGAACTGGAACCGGCGCAGACGATGGAGCCGTTTGACGCGAGTGCTTCCACGATCTGCGTCGGTTTGAAGGGCCTGTCTCAGGGCCAAGGGAAGCTCTGCCAGCTGTCCGTGGACCACATGTTCAGCGTGGCGAAGGGCGCGAAGTACGGCGTTATGGAGTGCCAGCATCAGTTCAAGGACAGAAGATGGAACTGCTCCACCGTCCAGGACGAGTCCGTGTTCGGTCCGATACTTAGAATAGGTACGTCGGTGTATAATGCTAGGCATTCCAGGAACCATATTCAAGCGATAGCGATATTTTGTCATCCAATTTTCGTAATTGAAACAACGCGTCCATTACAGCGAGCAGGGAAACCGCGTTCGTTCACGCGATCACCGCCGCCGGAGTGGTCTACTCCATCAGCCGTTCCTGTCGGGATGGCCACCTGTCGTCGTGCGGCTGTTCCAGGAGTAACAGGCCCAAGGATCTAAAACGCGATTGGATCTGGGGCGGATGCGGGGATAATCTCGAATACGGCTACAAGTAAGTGCGAACGCGTTGTGCGGATCGCGTAAGCCCTGGTCCTATATTAAGGCTAAAGATTCGAAAGAGTGCAGGCGAACTCGCCTTTTTTTTCTTTCCTTTTTTTCTTTCTTTCTTTACTCCCTTTTTTTTTTCGTCTTGCGAACGTCACGGAGAAGCCGGGGAAACTGGTTTGAGGCGTGTTTTCGTCGGTAATAAGATGTTCTGCCAGCGCGAAAAGATACGTGCGACTCGAGATGTTCTGCGCGCGATCATTTTTCCTAGCTCTCTACATCTGATTAACACAGTGTAACCGGTCTTTGGTATTTGATTAATGATGGTCCATCGTAAAAGCCCGCAAGAGTCAAGCGTACCTAGATAACGACTACCGTCGTCATATATTTTGATAATAATAACAGTCTCTTCAAGATACATATATTATCGCAGCATTTTTCTCTCTCTGAAATTCTTTCAGCCATCACTTAATAAAATAATTATAATATAATATATTACTCCTTCACTTAAAAAAAGACAACTGAAGAATCGTGATTTTCGAGTCATTACTATGGATAAATTAAGTAAACATTACCTTATCCATGTTCCTATCAATCATCAAAAGTAAGTCATAACTTAACTTCAAAACCAAATCGTCACAATAAAAAAAGTGGTTTTTGAAAGTTGTGAAAATAATTTAATTTTGTCGTTAAAAATATACTTTTTTTATCATTATTATTTTATTATATATTGAATTATATTAATATCTATATAATTTTCTATCAAATTAAAAAATAATTTTTCCTTTTTTGCGAAATTTAATTTTTAGTTGTGTCATCTTTGAAGTAAGGAAATGCTATCGTAGACAGCTATTAAAACATTATGATATAACATCTAAAGGACATCGTTAAAGTTCATTTTTACGAATTAGATTAATTTTAATCTCGGTTCACAACTTGCTCTTTATTTTTTTCTAATTCTTAGAATTAGAAAGAGATAAAAAGTTAATTGAGTCGATTAAAATTAAACTATATTAGTAGAAACGGGTATGAAACATTATATCATAAAACATCTTTATAAACGTTTTAAAATCCAGTTCCACCAATATGAGATTAACTTTAATCTCGGTTTAAATTTTTCCTTTTTTAATCCTAAGAATTAGGAAAAGATAAACAGGAAATTAAACAGAGATTAAAGTTAATCTTACATTGATGAAGGGTAATATTATAATTAATGTAATTCATCTTTAAAATCTTATACGAGATACTTAATTATCGAAATTAATAAATACGAATGAACGTCCGTCCAGATTCACGCAGGCGTTCGTCGATGTGCGGGAACGAGAGCGCAGTTTCAAGAGAGGCAGCCGAGAGCAGGGCAGGAGCCTGATGAATCTGCACAACAACGAGGCCGGTCGCAGGGTAAAGTTCGTTCTTTTCTTAGCTCGCGCGCGAGAAATGTCTCTTTAAATGTCGCGTCGCGTTAAATACGCGTGTATCGATTTCTCGCGATTTAATGCGAATTCGTTGAACCAAAACGCGGTAACGAAACTAATGCGCCAACCATTCGTCCCCCGCAGGCCGTCGTCAAAAGGTCCAAGGTGACGTGCAAATGTCACGGCGTTTCCGGAAGCTGTAGCCTGATCACCTGCTGGCAGCAACTCGCATCATTTCGCGAGATCGGTAAGCCTGACGTAAACATCCCTAAACAATATTAAGTCTAAAAAATAATTTAACCCTTAGTACACAAGATAAATTATTTGTCCTACACATTTTTTTTCTTTGAAACACTAATAATACAAAATATAATGGTCTCTATTTTTTGTTTATTTAATAATAATAACTTAATTAAAATAATAATAATAATAATAACTGTATTAATGTGCATTAATTAAATAAAAAGTAAATACAGCGAACGAAACGCAACTTTATAAACAATAATACAATTTTTTAAATATTTTTTAAAGATGGTTAAAGTATATGTAAAAATCACTTAATAATTTTTATATACTTGTAAAAATGAAAATTAACATAGAAATAAACGTGTGTAGTAAATGAGAGAAAAATTGTGTACACTAAGGGTTAAAAACATCTTAATCTTTTTTGGATGCCTATACACATACGATCATTGAAGGTATCTAAAAAATGTCCTAAATATTTTGTCATTTTTTCGAAATATGTCATTTAAGACATTATCAATGTCTTTGAAATTTGGATGCTTTTAAAATGTTCTCTAGAGACTTGTATCGTTCAGAAAATATCTGAATAAACATAGATGCAATTATAATGCAATTTTGTGTATTTTCAGGTGATTTTCTTTTGGACAAATACGACGGTGCGACCGAAGTCAAAGTCAATCGGCGCGGTCGTTTATCGATGCGCGATCCTAGGTTCTCCGTTCCCACTGCGAACGACTTGGTCTACCTGGACGACTCGCCAAACTACTGCCTTCCAAATGATACCCTGGGATCACTAGGTAGCTCTATCACTTTCAAGGATTTTTTATTTTCACATGGGTTTTACATTTTCATACTTTTTTGTTTAGAAAAAAATCGAGAAAATTCTCTCTCTCGTGTCTAAAACTCATTTTCCGAAAGCTCTAAGACACTCTTCACGAAAAATCAATTTTGTAACAGGTACACAGGGCAGATTATGCAATAGGACTTCGTCCGGCATGGACGGCTGCAATCTCCTTTGCTGCGGCAGGGGATACAATACGCAAAAGTCCACCATCAGAGAAAGGTGCGAATGCAAGTTTCACTGGTGTTGCTTCGTCGAATGCAAGACCTGCGTAAAGAATATCGATATACACACTTGCAAATAGCGCGCTAATATTTATTTTTTTCTTTTCCACGACTCTTTTTTAAACTTGTCCTCACATTGTCGAAGGTATACAGTACCGTTGACAGTACAACAATTCTAACGGCGGCATTATTGTTTCACAGTAAATAATTTGGAATTTTTTTCTAATTTAAAATTTATTCATCAAATAAATTTTATTAAAATTTTTTTCCGCAAATGTGCGTGTATGTGTGGTATGTATCTATGGATATTTTTATGCAATATTATTACTGCGATAAATTCTTTCTCAGCGCTAAAAAAATTAATTTTATCAGAATATTAATTAATCTATATTTTATTAGAGAAATTAGTTCATCTTATCATAAATTATTTGTGGCCTATAAAAAAAGCTTAAGCGAATCAAGAAACTTTTAATTGTGTGTTCGTAAGAATTAAGTGCTTCATAAACGATTATGATCGTTAAATTGACGTAATTCTTTTAACGGAAACAAGTGAAATATAAACATAAATTGCATTTAGTCTCTTATGTTAAATCGTGTTAAATTAATGACTACTTATAGAACACTTAAATAATGTTTTATAAACATTTATATAACGAGATGTTATTTTATTCTGACATCTTTTTAAAAGACATTTATCAATTATTCCGTTCAATAAAACACAAATAAATTATTTTAAATTCATAATTACACCGCTCTTTATATTACTACAATAGTTACTTATATATAAAAAATAATTATACGTAAATTATTTAAAGTGTTCATTGCATTTTTATTTATTTGCTCAGAGCAAGCGATTTAATTTAGCAATCCGCAAAATAGCATGTATAAACAAGCGACATTGCGGATTACTTAGGAATACTTAAGAACTTAAGAGAGATACTTAAGAATATTGTGAGCAAAGGTACCAACTATTCGATATAGAATATAATTACGTTATTACGCAAACGTTGATAGTAAAAGAAGGAAAAAATGATTCCAGGAAGCTGACAGAAATCCAAAATTATTTTTTTAATTCACATATACAGAATGATATGGAAATATCTCTGATAATTGTACAGGTAAAATTCAGTATATAAACTGAATTTGTATTTATAAAAACTCTAATATATCTATTTATATATTCAATCACTGAACAATCCACCAATTTTCAGAATTATTTCTGTATTATTTGTATATGTATGTATACCTAATTTAACTTAATTTTCTATTATAGTCATTATGATAAGAATCACGTAACAACATTCCATTTGCATTGCAAACCACATCTGATGGAATGTACTTGCCTTAAGCAATAACATAGTTTTTAAGTCACGGCGTTGTATCTCTAGTAGACTAGACATTTATTTAACAGCGATACAATTATTTATTTTTATTCCTAGATACTGTATTGTACAAACCTCGGTATTTCACAATGGATAGATATAAAGATAATAAAATATCTTATATCAACCACCAAGCTTTACTTTATTGAGAAAAAAACATGTATTATGGCTGCATCGCATATAGTATTTATATGTACACTTTGTTGTTTACTTTGCACTTCACAATCTGTTCATATTATTATACAAACTATTCGTGTATCTCCCATGGTTTTTCTGGTCGGTATCTATCCCAAGAATTTGGATACTTGTACACTAATGGTTCAGTTAAAATGATGTTATTTTTTTCTAATTCTTTAATCAATAATTCACATTTGTCTCCAATTAATGCACTATCAACCTTCATTTCACAGATCCCAGCCTCTAGGCAACGCTGAGCCAACACTCGTCCTATATTAATATAAGCTGAACTGTCAGTTGTCCTGAAAAATTTGTATCATGTCAATAGGATGAAAAAAATCAAACGAGATGTGATTAATAATAGACAATCTAAATTTAATTGAATCTCAGTACCGATATAATTGCTTCTTCAATGCCCATTCTGCACTGGAAGCTGAAACAACAGGTCCATTCTCAAAGTGACGGACTTCAGCCACAATATGACGTGGCTTTTTAATCAAGAACAACCTGTGAATTAGTATAATCATGACATTGGTTGCGTTCAACAGACTCAACAGTTTTGCAACCGTTTTATGATTCATCTCGCTGATTGGATTATACTTTTAGATCTAAAAAAATAGTCTTATCTCAGTAAAGTATCATAAAACAGTTGTAAAAATGTTGAGTCTGCTGAACGCAACCATTAAGAATAAATTTGTTATATTAGAAAAGGTAACATACATCTTATTCATTTATAACAATAAAAATGTTTAATAACGAATTCGCTAGTATTACATTACGCTATTTTATAATAAAAGTTATATATATTAAAGATTGCTTCGTGTGTGTATATATATATATATATAGCTTCGTTATATATAAAATGTGTGTATAAATACAATAACAGTGTAATCAACTTTAAAAATGAAATAATACATGTATATTTTGTTAAATAAAATAGCAATATCATTAAATCGTTTAAAATATTTATATTTCCTTATAATAATTACATATTCTTACATTTTGCTATTTTCATGTGTAATAGCTCTTAGTGGAAGCTTTCAAACAAGCGACACTGTGTGACACAGCAATTACCTCATTCTTGTTTAACATTGGTAAACAGGGCAACGATTTACTCTGCCACATCGTGTTGTCTGTGACTCTTGTTGGAAAGCTTCCAGTATTTAGTGTAATGCAAGTGAATTCGTTACTATTGAAATCAACAAAGCTATAAAAGCATATTTTAAACAATTAAATGCCCATTAATGACACTGGCACATTATTTAGTAGACTATACATATTTTATCTCAAAGCTGTTTATATTACTGTATTTATAGATATTTTATATAAAGCAGCCTTTAATGTCACTAATCCAGTGCAGCGCGAGTGATTGAATTCATTACAATAAACGAAGATTTCGTCACAGGATCATTGTCACTTGACAAACCGTCTTACTTGTGCCAGTACGTATGCCCAGGTTTGTTTAAACGATAACCATCGGGTTTCCTCGCTATCCTCAACCGTTCTAAATTTCGCGGATTTCGGTTCACGATCTCCGTGCACTCCTCGATCAATTTCGCGTTATCGTGCAGTCCCCGATGCACGTGAAACGCACGAGCGATACCGACACGTGCATTCGTTGAATACATTTTTGGAACACTTGTTATTTTTTGTGTTCTTGCTACTCAAATTGCTCAAATCTCGGCACTCGGCTTCCGAGTTAAATTGCTCGAGTGTTTTTATTTTCTTTCAGAAAGGAAGTCTAGGTTAGATTCCACTTTACCATTCTACCGGCATTAATCAACTATTTACTAGATTGTCTATACAGAAGAAAAAGAATAAAAGAAATAGTATGAAGAGAGAGAGGAAAGAGGGACAGAGAAATTTTATCAATTTTTAAGGTGACGTAGCTAAAACTGAAAATTAGCATAAAATTTTTGAATATCTTCTTTGATTGTGATATCCGCCTTTGGGATAAATTCTTATATAATTGGTTTTGTTCTTAATTCCTCACACTGGATCTAATTGTTAAAACAATTATATTAACGATTTTACAACAGTAAAAGAACGCAACCAATGAAATAAGTCATATTGGACAGATTACAAAGATGTTTACATATCTCTCCGATAAGTTTTGGAACGCATCGACATTTGTAAAAGAGGCACATGCAACAAAATGTAAGCAAAATGTAAATACCATGGTAAATACAACATTTAATAAACAGAATCCATAGTCGAGAATTTTCGAAAACGGGAGCTGCCATTTCGAAGTTCGGTTATAGATGGTTCTGAATGGTCCATTCGCTTATTACTTTACGAGCGATTATTTTTTTTAACCTAATTTAGAAAAATTAAACTTAGATTAATTTAATCGTCAGAATTGTTTTAAGTAAATTTTCTACCTATGTAATTCCTCGTGTGTGTGATTTAATCTTGTTTTCGTATTAAATTATTTAAAAAATCAATAATTTTGTTTATACATTAAGAGTATATTATCGATAGTTTATCTGATAAATTAATCGACCATTAAATTAATTAGAATTTTGGTCAGTTTTTTCTTATAAATTTTTCAGTTAAATTAAAAGAATGTCATGATGCATGAGAATACTTAGATATGACACACTAAAATCTAGAAACCTAGAAGGTCGCCATACACTCTTGTTCCAATATATGTGAGTTTGATGACTCTACAGTGAAATGTAAATGTGAAAGACTATAAGGGATGGAATGAAGGAAAGTGGAGTTGAGTGGAGTCAAGTGAATAGTAATTGTGAGAAAAATCGAAAGGATCATTTTTATTAGTTTAACATTTGCAACTGCCTTTTCGCAATGAGTACTGTCGAGTATGGTTTTCCAATGATAGGCGGATTAATGCCGGTAAGCAAAATTAATGAATCTATTACTGGGTGCTTTCCAGCAAGGACAAAATCAGACACTGTGTAACACAGAGAATCCTCGTTTAACGTAGGCAAACAACAAGGATGCAATGATTCACTATGTTACACAGTGTCTACTTGTGTCGTAGCTGAAAAGCAGCCACTAATAACATGGAATTTTTATGTGAAAAAGAGAATCGCACTGCATTAATTCTACAGTCTCCTTAATTCGTTCATTCGTGAAAGAGTTGCTGCTTTTTTAAATTTAAATTATATTTTTTAGCAAATACAAGCTCTTATTGCACCACCGATATCCGACGACTCAAAAGCAGCGAAAGCAAAGAAGGAAAAAGAGGAGAAAAAACATCCATACTTTAAGAGACGAGGTCGTGGTCATAATCGTGATTTCTGCGATGCTTGTAAAGATGGTGGAGAACTCATATGCTGTGATAAATGTCCAGCTTCCTATCATTTGCAGTGCCAGTAGGTGTGATTAGAACAATTGCTATCTTCTTCAAATAATTTTATTATAAGATGTTAAATTTTTCTCTATTTAGTTCTAAAGAAAAGACATATCCTGAAGCTTTTGTTTTACAGCTATCCAGCAGTGGATCCGGCAGATATTCCTAATGGAGAATGGTTGTGCTATGCCTGCCGTTGTGCTTCTAAAAGGGAAGAACTTTTTGATGAGAAGGGGAACGAGAAAAAAAAAAGATCAGCTTTGGAAGTATTAACATTGGCAGCTTCTTTAGTAAATCCAAGAGAGTTTGAATTGCCTAAGGAGTTACAGTTGCCTATAATGTTTCCTGGAAGCAATAAAGTGGACTATGTAACTGGCAGAAGAGGTAAACCACCAAGCTCATCATATAATAATGGTAGGCAAAATAAGATTGAATGCACTTTTCCTTTTTTCTTTTGGCTCCTTGTACAGAAATAAATTTCTATTTTGTAATGTCAGTTAGTGTCGTAACTGATATTACAAAAATTAATCTGCCTCAAATTAAGATTTGTATTAATCAACAATGTTCTTTTTCAGTTGGAAAAAGTCATTGCTTAGACAGCAACTTAATGGTTCCATTACCAGCTCGTTTATGTTATGAATGTAGACGTAGTTGCAGAAAAGCACCATTAATCGCTTGTGATTATTGTCCCTTATATTTTCATCAGGATTGCTTGGATCCTCCGTTAACTGCTTTTCCTATTGGCAGATGGATGTGTCCAAATCATCCAAATCATTTCATAGATCAGCATCTGTTGACTTCTTGTAGAGTGACAGAACGTATAAAGCTCTGGGACAAGTATGCCAATCAACGAATAGATCAGCATGCGGTAAAACTAGACTTTTTACGTAAAGCGCGAGCTGCCAATCCACTATTTCGTACAAAAGTGAAATTGGAAGGTCGCTCAAGAATAAAAGTTCCTTGCAGCATCAAGTTCCATTATGACAATCCGCCACACTTAGATCCTGTGCATTCTTATCAAGATAGTTTTATATGGCCTGTAAACAATAGCGCCAAGACATTACCGTGTCTGCAGATTACAGACAATGAAAAGCAACAGAAAACAGACATTGAGAAAGTAGATAGCAAAGATAATTGTATAGAAAATAAAAAAACTGAAGAAATTGATGAAATTAAAATAAAAAGAGAAAAATGTAATACTATCCCTGATAAGGGAAATGATCAAGAAAAAATATCAAATGTGAATAAAGACACGAGTAAAACAGAAAGTGAAGCTACGACGGATAATTCTAAAGAATATATTAATCACAATTTTTGTACAAGTAATGATGGTTACAATATTAAAGAAGGTGTTCAATTATTAGAAAGACCAGTATTGGAAGCATTAGCGCAACAGAGACTCGAGCAAATATTAAATCCAGACGGGGAAAGTTATGAAAGAATAAATTGTCATAAAAGGGCAAGAGCCGCATTATTTTCTTTAAGCCCTAAGCCTAAACCACCAGCGTTCATGACTTGTAGAACCTTCGTTATTGGCAACGGCCCGAATTGTGATCTAGTTTTGTCCAATTACGGTAGCTGTGGATTCACATCCTCTAAACACGCAGTTATATTTTTCGATGAAGTAAGTAGATATCACACATTTTCCTTTTAATAGAGAATTTATAAAAAATTAAGAAAGGCACAAAGAGGATTTTTTCCTTGTCTCACTAATGCCTATCTCTGTTACAGGTGACCAAGCATTACGAATTACTTAATTACAGCGAATATGGAACGGTTGTAGATCACGTGCTGTATTCTTGCGATTGCACTCGTGTTTTAGAGGACGAAATAGAGGAAAAGACTGATAAAATATGTGTCACTAAGGAGGAAGAAACTTCTGATATAATAAAAACGATTCTGCAAAAGGAAAAAACTGATTTGGAAGAAAGCGTGAACATGGATGACAGAATTTTGTGCAAGTGTAATATAAAACATGATTCGAGAATTAAAGAACATTTGGAGGAAGGCTGGGAGGGAAGTGCAATCATTGCACATGGTTCAACTATTAGTTTCGGATGTCTCAAATTCATATTTAACACATTAGATATGTATGTAGACAGATGAAACTCGATGATGTAAAATATTTCATATTGTACAAAGAAAATTTTATAAAGCAATACAAAATAAATTAACAGCATTTCTTATACTTGCAGCAGTATCTTTTCACTTTCTCTCTTTCGTAATTGATCAAAAGTATATCGTACAAAACACACACACACGCACAACATCAGGATGAAAAACTTTTTTTTTACAAAATAAACTTTATTTAATTAGTCATCTTCGCACGGTTCGTCGAAGTCTTTCATTTTTACATCTGAATCTTCGCCATATTGTATAGTATTATCGATTGTTAATTTTATGTCTGCAATACTTTCCTCATTCTTGATATTTAATGGTAAGAAACGCACTAAGCTATAATCTGTTATAATTTTACCAAGACTTTCTGTAAGACTATGATACTTCTCATTCCATGGATCTTGTGCATCAGCTAATAAACTATATGGATCAGGATCGAAATAGCTATCTAATTTTTTCCGTGCGTTCTTTGATAGCAAGTCCATTTTGCTAAGAATACTAACATGTGGAATTTCTAAGTTTATCATCACACTAAGAGTAGCCAAAGTGCCTGAAAGAAACTTGGATGCATCTATCATAAATTGGACATCTATCAGAAACACTCCACATATATGGAAATTCAGTTTTTGCAGGATGGTTATCAGCTCTCGTATCACAGTCATGTGAGTATACAATTCAATTTGTCCAGGGCAGTCAAATATTATATAATCATCATCTACATCACCTAATTTTTCTTCTAACCAACTTGAATTTTCGACCAAGTACCTATAAAAAATGCATGAATTTTATTGCATAAAAACATTAAAAGTAATAACAAGTTAATGTCCAGCTTTTTATGTAAAAGTGATGAACTTATAATTAACAGATTGTAGATCAATTTTTTTATCAATTTTACAAAAGGTAGATTTACAAAAGGAAAATTAAGTTGTCAGAACTACGAAATAACAATAGCAATCTGTTAAGTAAACTCAAAATATATATTTCAATAAGAGATACAAAGTATATAAAAATAATAATATATGTATTTAATGAGAATTAAGTAACTTACTCCATGCAGAATACAAGTCCACCATTGGGTCCAAAGTTGAATTCCTCATCTTCCATGGCATCATCTAACTGAATTAAATCTCTTATATCCACTAAAGGCTCGTAATCAAAATATTCTGCTGCTGGATCTAAATTCACAATATCTACTGTTTTTCTCGAGTCAACAGCATGTCGTTGCATAATTGAACAGTAAGTAGACTGTTTAAAAACGAGATGAATTCAAATATTAACAGAATTGTTCAACTTAGATGACTATTAATATTTAATTAATATGAACTTAATAAACAATTTAAATTGATTACCTTGCCGCTGCCGGCTGGACCCATTACTAACTGTGCATATCTCATTTTGACAGAAAAATATGTATATTTGTGTTGATCAGTATAATATACTCTCTGCGCAAAAAAGACCAGAAAGACGCATAAATAAAACCTAACCTAACCAAACCTAGATCTGATTTTGTCACACAAAATGGAATGCACATGCGCGAAATAAGCAAGTTGCCCAGTCGCGCCACCTAAACTTCTTTCTCACTTCTTCTTATCCGTTCTCATCCTGTGATTAGGTGATGCTTAGAAAGCTCAAATTTGAAGGAAATTAGTATAATTGCCGTCTGTTTGAGTTGTGTTAGTTTTTTAATAGTTAGTTAATAGTTAAAACATATTATTATATATATATAAAACATTATATTATTTATCATTATTAATAATTTTATTATTTAAATTTATTCTGATAATGCGTGGCTTTCATTGTTATAAGATTCAAATTTGACACACCAATTTCAAATTATACAATTGTTTTGTTGGAAAAAGACAAAAATTTTTAGGCAGAATCTTTTTGTATGTAGTACATAGAAATAGACTTATTAAATGATACCAAAAATTTCATTAAACATTCATAATTTATAATTTCGATAATTCTATTTAATTTATTATCCAACTTTGAACAGTGTGTGTGTATATATATATACTATATACTACCTGTTTTACATGCATACAAAAATAAACAGATCTTAATTAAAATACATTAAGGATAAATCAACAGATTTTTTATTTCTCTGTATCGTTTAAATATTTCTTAAGATGCTTCCGATGTTGTCGCTGTATCGTTTATCTTTGTTTTTCGTTCCATCATCATTTTTTCTAAATTATTTGGTAAATTTATTCCAATTAAGGCACTTAGTACGCTTTTCTTTGGTACACCAGCATCCTTCCGCTTCTTTCGTTGTACCTTGTTCTTCTTCTCTTTTTTGGGTTCATAATGACGTTGAATATGTTGTTTCAACTTTGCGTTCGTCGTAAGTCCCACGGAGCATATATGGCAATAAACTTTTTGTCCGAGATGATTATTCTTTATGTGCTGTTCTAAATTAGATTTAAAAAAGTAAAATCTGTGACAATTATCATATGGGCATGGAAAAACTAATCTGTCTTCACAATGTATTTTAGAGTGTTGTTTTAGATTGTTCTTATTAAGAAAGACTTTGCCGCAAGTGTCACATTTATAATCTGAAACTAAAAATTTTTCTTGCTAGAGATTACATTCTTATGATATACTTAATACTTCTGTAAAGTATTCTCATGATATATTTAATACTTCTGTAATACATACTTGTTACATGTTTTGCTTTTTTATGTGCAATTAGAAATACCAAATTTTCAAATTTCTCTGAGCACTCAGGACAAGGATAACGTTTTTCATGCGTCTTTTGATGCCTATCAAATATAGACAAAGTTCCAAAACTTTTATTACATTGATCACACTTGTACATGTTTTCTGAATGCTTTTCAGCTTGATGATTAGATAATTGATATCTCTTGTTGAAATTTATGCCGCATTCTTTACAGGAAATTTTCTTTTCGCTGTGTACTCGCTTGTAATGACGTTTCAAATTATGTAAAGTGCTTATCATCATTAAACATTCTTTACATCTGAAATTAATATAGTAATATACAAATTATATATACATATGTGTGCGTATGCAAACTTCTTTAAGTCTAATTAAAGTATATGTTAATACAAACTTGTATACTTTCTTCATAGAGCTATGCGTTTCTGAGTGTCTTCTTAAATGAGATGAATTTGTATATGATTTTGTACATCCTGGATGCATACATTTGTATGTTCTCTATCGTGTAGAATTATTAATTGTTAAACATCAATGTATTACATAATAAGGTAATTATTTAGAATACGGTCCTCACCTTCGATTTTGATCTAATTAGGCTCATTTGACGCGTTTTCACTCAAAATGAAAGAATCAGGAAGAAATATGTGGCAGTCGACCTCGTGCAGTAAGTTCCGTCTCTCTTGCGGGGAGGCTCCACTAGTGCTTCTACGACATCTACGTTAAAAGTGTATGCATGGATGCAGTGGGTTCCGCCCCTCCCTACGGAGGGGCTCCACTATTGTTTTAAGTGTACGTTCCACTTAACGTTCGCAACGCTCGCGAGAATCATTTTGTCCTTCTTGTAATCGAATATTAAGTAAGGATGAGATGATACACGCGATCGTTGCGAACATTAAGTGGAATGAACCCTAAATTGGATCAAAATCTGTTGGAAAGTTGTAATTTTCATCAGGCTAATTGACGATAGATGGCATGATTAATTCATCGAGTAGATGGCACTATCTTTCGATAGTCAGATTAATGAAATTTGAACATCGTTGATGCTCGCCCCTTATCCTAGCGGACCATGGTGCCGAACGGTTGTGTGTGAGCTGTGTGCGATTGTAAGGCCTTGCAACGATGATCTGATTTCGTTACAGATAAGTTTAATATAAGAAACTGTACTAAAGTATATGCACAAAAGTCATTATTTCTGTAAGATGTTTATTATAAGCGATTTGTTATATTGATGCTTTTGTTGTATTATGCTTGTGTAATGATTCATGATTTATGGTATTCTATTTCCTTCAGAAGTTCATTCATTAAATCTAAACGATTTGATTGATGTGTATTGTCTTTCTTTGATTAAGCTTAATTAGATGAGTTAATATTGCTCATTAAATTTAACAAAATCAATTAGATCAAAATTGGAGGTGAGGACCGTATTCTAAATATAATTACCCATAATAAAATCACTTTCATACTCATACTTAATTACCTCTCCAGTGTGTGATTTTATGTGTCTTTCCAATCTATCAGGTCGTAAAAACGTAGCACTGCAGTTAGGATAATTACATTTATGTTTTTTCTGGCTCTCTTTATTTTCAATATCAATATCATGTCCATTTTGGCAATCGGATGTAATGTTATCGTTATCGTTATTTCCCATTTGACCCATTTTGATATCACTCCAGTATTCCAATTAATTAATATCCTTTGAATTAAAAAGTACATTTAATGTAACATATTATATACACGATATATAAATATCTACTATTAAACACTCACAAAATTTATGAATTAAAGTTGCTTAGCAAGATATATACTTTAATTCGCTAATTTTATTTATACTTTATATCCAATAATAGAATAACTTAAATTACGTTTCATGTACAGATCTACATCCAATAACACCACGAGAGAAACATACCTTTACTTACTTTAAACTTTAACGTAAATGCACGTAAATGTGCTCTTACAGGTTAAGCAAGGTTAGGAAATCCAGACACCGCACGATAACCGCGTGCGCGCTCAATTGACTCTACTTGCGCATTCTAAAACGTGACGTATTCAATTCAAAATGGTCTTCCTTCACTTTACTATTTTCGACCTCACAGCTACTCAATAATATTTACGTTATTAGTTATTAATTCACTCTCCTTTAGCGGAACTTCTTAGATTTCTCGTATATTTTTCTTTTTCTCTTTAATAAGTATTATTATGTATCTATTTTATTTTAAGTATGAAAGTATTTACATATAACACAAGTCGTTATACCCTAACAAAAATAAAAATCTGAATAATGTTAATTTGATGTCATATTAACCGAATTATTAATCAAATTTGTGTAATTTTTTTGTTACAATTCAATTAATATGACATTATTTTAATTTTTTCTTACTCTTGAAAAACAAATCTATTATATAATAGTAAAAAATTAATTATATATAATTTGAACAAAATTTTGGATTTCTTATATTTTTTCTCTTTCTTTTCAATGTATATCATCATGAATCCAATAATTTTATTTTGCAGCTTGACACGTGTCTAAGTATTTAAATAAAAATTAAAAATTTTGTTATAAACAATCCTGCAGAATTAATCACTAATTAAGTTATTCAAAGTCTGGTTATATTCTATTATAAATGTGCACGCAAGAAACACTTAGCTTCTATTCAATCGATACGATAAAGATTTTATTTTTCCTCGGAACCGATAACGGGACTTAAATATCACGTCCGCTCTTCTTAGATTCTTATTACATGCCGTAATAAATCGGCACAATGCATGTGCATTCGTGTTTAAACTAATCGGAATGCTACGTGCGTCTGCGGGAATTTGGGTCACTGAAGACCACGACTGTAATTGGGCCAAGCATGTACCCTATACCCCATCGATATTTTATAAAAGCACTTTTTCCTGGGGTTTGCACACATTGCAGTTATGACTCGATTAGATTATAAAGCAAAGTGTTTTCTAAAGTATATATCTTTTAATTATCTAAAGTTTGGGATGCGTCGAGTGTTTTTATTGTTCCTCTTCATATTATAATTTTTACTTTAATGAGAAAAAGAGAATAGATATATATATATATATACAATAT